ATGTTCACATAAAAGAATTAGAACAGAGATTAAATTGGGGCACAGAGTAAGTAAAATTGCTGGTTTTCGGTGTTTACTTTCTCGAAATATGGTTTTCAGTTATTTATGTCAGATATAAACATACTACTTTATTATGTTCCCTATCTTTTTTGTTATGCACATAATTTAACAGTTTGTAATAGTTGAAGCCACATATCTCTGTGGACTGGTATATTGTTGAAATGACTTCATGCAAGGAGGAGACTTTTAACTGTATAATTCAGGTATGTATATTTTCTTTTAGCAAAGTGTGTGACATTCAACTTGTCAAAATGAACATTTTGCTTGACTGAACAGCTTTGCTTTGTGTTTTGCTTGTCTACTGAGGCAAATGAAGGCTGACAAGAGGGCATTTCCATCTAGTTAAAGACCAAGGGGAGAATGAAGCAGGATTTGAGCCAGTTATCAGAAAATTCTTTTCTTGCTGAAGATTTTATAATGTACAAGATATACTCATTAGAAATAATTTAGATAAATCTTAACTCTTGGGAGCAGAATGTAGGCTCTCCACCCTTTCTTATAAGCATTTAGTAAAAGGAATAATTTGTATTATGATGGACTTTATTATTTATATTATTTCTTGTTTTCTTTTTATTGGAGACTCTTTGAGGTGATGATAGAAAACATAATTGGCTGTATACCAAACTTCATTATATTTTTCAGAAGGAGGAAGTGTTGTTGGTTTGTTTTATTATCTAATCAAGAACTATATACAGGCCTAGGAATTTACGTGATTAGGCAGTCTCCCATTCTGTTAGTGGGTACTGTCCATTCATTTAGTCAGTCATTTTTTGGAGTATCCACTAAGTTCCCAGGACTGCCCTAGGTACTGGGATAAAGGTCAATAGCCTATAATACCTGTCTTCAAGGAGCTTCCTGTTTGTGTTTGCTTAATTTTCCAGGTTAACCCACTGAAAGATGTGAAGTATTAAATCATCCATTTATTAATTCAACAAATTTCATTTGTGTCAAACATGTGCTAGGCATTTGAACTGGGTAGGCAATAGGACCACAATGGTGAACTGCTCCTGTAGAACTTACAACCTGGTGGGAAAGGGGAGGGCATATTTTGGTTAATTAATCATATTAATAAAAGTATAATCACAAATTTAAGATAAAGTCCCCTAGGAAAAGTATACAGATGTATCAGTGCATATAAATAAGAAACCCAACCCAGGTTTGGGAGGGGCTCAGTAACGAGTTAACTGGAGAAAAGGATCAGGAGGAAAGGGACAACACCTTCAACAAGTCCACAAGTCGTATTCCTAGAAGCGACATGCCAACTTCTGACACCAGCCAACAGAGAAGAAAGTTTCAAGAAGGAAAGAGTAATCAACTATGTCATGCAGTTTTGTGACGACAAGGACGAAGAGGACTAATGTTCATTGGATGTGACAGCATGGAGGTCATTGGTGACGAGAGCAGGTTCTGTTAGATTTTTGTAGGATGAAGGTGGCTGAAACATGACTGGAATAGACTGAGGATGAAATAGAAAGGGAGTAGGGCATTGGAAGTATAAACAAAACCTTCAGGAAATGTGGCTGTGAAGGAAGAAGATATGAGGTCGTTGAAGGAGGACTAATCTCTTTATTTACACATGGAGGACGATTGAGCATGTTTGAATATTGAAAGGTAGGATACAGTTTAGGCAGTTGTTGAATATACAGTACAGAGAAGGGAAAACTTGTAGTAAGTTTCTTTAGTAGTTGAAGGTAAGAGAGGATTAGACCCAGAACATTGTGAAGGGACTAGCCTTAGAGAGAAAACTGAAGGGGAGGATGGCTGTGGATATAAGTAGGTTTGGTGCAAAAAGGTGGGAGTAGATATTTCTCCCATTCAGCTGATTCACTTGCCTCTGAAAAGTCAGAGTTCTGTATGTCCTCTCAAAGGAAGCAGGGTGAAGGAGGCTGTGGAGGTTTGGAGAAAGTGGAGAAGGTTTGAAATAGGCATTGCAGGGGGTGGGATAGTGTGAGAGTGAATGGATGGGAGAAAAGTAGAAGCATTGATGGGCAGTGTTGAGAGTGTGTTTGAGGCTGGTGAAGATGGTATTATGGTGACACTTATCTGTCCTGTTCTGTGGTTTTTCTCTGCAGTGATTACTCCCGTAGGGCAGGCACCAAGAAAGCAGGTAACTGAGTTCATTTTGAGTTGGAGTGAAAAAACACCAAAGGGCAACAGAGTGAAGGGTATTGAAATGAGTGTTTTTGAAATGATGGGTCCTGGAAATAAAAGGATAATGGATAAAAAGAGAGAGGAAGAAAAGTGAGGGCTGAGGAAAGGGTCGGGACCTAGTAAACAGTCCATGGAGTGAAAGCACCACTGAGACCAAGAGGAAGAGTCAGAGGCAGCCTCAGCCTCATGCATTCTCCTGTTCTGAGTGGACTGTCCTTTCAGAGGTCTGCCTTGTGATGGCCCAGACACTCTCCTGATGCCAGTTTCACAGGGAGGGGCTGCGGGCCAGGGCACAGGCTCTGGCAAGATTGAAACTGTGGTGAGACAAGGAGCCAGCAGTGGTGGCTGTGGGCTTCTGACACCCCATGTGGATTCCAGGACCCGAGCAATGTGACATTTCTTAATCCCTGTGTCACAGTGAGCTTATTAAGCTGTTAAGTAGATACAGACATCTGTTTTAAAGTATCCTTTCTACGATTTATGCAGGATCCAGGAAACCTGATCTTCAGTGGGTAATGAGAATACTTTGGTCCTTCTCATTCAGTCATTCTTTAAATTATCTCTGATGTATACTGATTGAAAGTAGGTTAAGAATCTGTCCTGGTCCACGGGACCTTCTGTTACTCGCGAGGGTCAAGGGGGACCTTGCCTGAAAGAGATGGGCAAGAGAAAGGAAGGAGACCAAGCAAAGAGTTGTCAAGGTCTACTTTACTTGGATTTTTAGTAGGTTTTATATACAGAAACAAGGAAGTAGAAACAGAAAAATAGAGTGGGGGGATGATGAGGCTTGGGTGTGGGCCAGTCAGCCCGTAGCATGCCCTAGAGCAAGCACGTCATGAAATGCATTCTTCTCCGAACTATAGCTGGAGGGCTGGGTGCTATTTTCGTCTTAGGCTATTTTCCGGGGCCAGGCCTGTGCGTAGGACAAGTCATGGGATGTGGAGGGTCTTAGTCTCCAACATCTCCCCCTATCTTTATTAATATGAGGGAGATTTACACAGGTTGGTGGAGAGCCTGTCTTAGGCTACGTGATGGGCTTCCGCGACCAGCACCCCAAATGTAAGATCGGGCGATTGAAATGACGGTGAGGCCTCTGTCTTAGGCTATGTAGGTGGCATCCAGCTCCGGCACTTCTGATTATGAAGTGTGCCCCCGGGCATGGACCTACAATATTCCCGTCATGGAGTTACCTCACTGCTGGCGGGGTGTGCACCTGGTACGCGGCATCGCGATAATCCCGTCATGGGCGTCTCCACAGCCTTTGGAACCAACTGCGTTCCATGTCTGAGGCAAGGTTAGAAAAATTTAGACCCTCTGTGGCTCAATGGGGAGACTCTGTATGGAGGTCTTCTCTGGAGATTGTGAAGGGACTAGCCTTAGAGAGAAAACTGAAGGGGAGGATGGCTGTGGATATAAGTAGGTTTGGTGCAAAAAGGTGGGAGTAGATATTTCTCCCATTCAGCTGATTCACTTGCCTCTGAAAAGTCAGAGTTCTGTATGTCCTCTCAAAGGAAGCAGGGTGAAGGAGGCTGTGGAGGTTTGGAGAAAGTGGAGAAGGTTTGAAATAGGCATTGCAGGGGGTGGGATAGTGTGAGAGTGAATGGACGGGAGAAAAGTAGAAGCATTGATGGGCAGTGTTGAGAGTGTGTTTGAGGCTGGTGAAGATGGTATTATGGTGACACTTATCTGTCCTGTTCTGTGGTTTTTCTCTGCAGTGATTACTCCCGTAGGGCAGGCACCAAGAAAGCAGGTAACTGAGTTCATTTTGAGTTGGAGTGAAAAAACACCAAAGGGCAACAGAGTGAAGGGTATTGAAATGAGTGTTTTTGAAATGATGGGTCCTGGAAATAAAAGGATAATGGATAAAAAGAGAGAGGAAGAAAAGTGAGGGCTGAGGAAAGGGTTGGGACCTAGTAAACAGTCCATGGAGTGAAAGCACCACTGAGACCAAGAGGAAGAGTCAGAGGCAGCCTCAGCCTCATGCATTCTCCTGTTCTGAGTGGACTGTCCTTTCAGAGGTCTGCCTTGTGATGGCCCAGACACTCTCCTGATGCCAGTTTCACAGGGAGGGGCTGCGGGCCAGGGCACAGGCTCTGGCAAGATTGAAACTGTGGTGAGACAAGGAGCCAGCAGTGGTGGCTGTGGGCTTCTGACACCCCATGTGGATTCCAGGACCCGAGCAATGTGACATTTCTTAATCCCTGTGTCACAGTGAGCTTATTAAGCTGTTAAGTAGATACAGACATCTGTTTTAAAGTATCCTTTCTACGATTTATGCAGGATCTAGGAAACCTGATCTTCAGTGGGTAATGAGAATACTTTGGTCCTTCTCATTCAGTCATTCTTTAAATTATCTCTGATGTATACTGATTGAAAGTAGGTTAAGAATCTGTCCCGGCCCACAGGACCTTCTGTTACTCGAGAGGGTCAAGGGGGACCTTGCCTGAAAGAGATGGGCATGAGAAAGGAAGGAGACCAAGCAAAGAGTTGTCAAGGTCTACTTTACTTGGATTTTTAGTAGGTTTTATATACAGAAACAAGGAAGTAGAAACAGAAAAATAGAGTGGGGGGATGATGAGGCTTGGGTGTGGGCCAATCAGCCCCAATCAGCGTCTTATTGACATCGGAAGCTGTTTGTGATTGATCACTCAACCTCAACCTGTCAGGGGGTCGGGAACAATTGCAGGTAGCATGCCCTTGAGCAAGCACGTCATGGGATGCATTCTTCTCAGAACTATAGCTGGAGGGCTGGGTGCTATTTTCGTCTTAGGCTATTTTCCGGGGCGAGGCCTGTGCCTAGGACAAGTCGTTGGGATGTGGAGGGTCTTAGTCTCCAACAAGAATCTATGGATTTTTAAGCAAACAATAAACAATCAACAAACTCAGACTCTAACATTTGAGTCTGGTGTCAGACACAAGGGTCTGGAGTTGGAACCCTGCTATGGAGAGACTCTAAGGAGGCGCCATCTTCTCACATGAGAACCAACAGTGCTCCCTTCTCCTGCCCGGCTTTGCCAACACTGCTTTGCTCTCCACTAGTCAGAGTGCATCTCCAGTAATGAAGCCTTCATCATCTATGGCCAGTTTATGGCAGCATCTTCCTAGCTGGCCTCCCCTCTTTTGGACTTTTGTCACTTTTTTAACCATACACTCAACTGCCTTATTAATTAACTTTCAATTCCTGTTTTCTTCTTCTACCTCATTTTTCAAGGAATAGAAGCAGCTTGTGCTTTTCGAATTGCATCAAAGTAGGAATAAATTCATCTGCTGCTTAAGTGTGAGACATTGGGTATATCACTTAATTTTCTTGGGCCTTAGTTCCTTCACACATTTAAAAATAAAAGTGTGGCTATTGGACTAAAAGGTCAAATTCTTTGTGGTTTGGAATAGTATGTGCTTGGGCTAGAGCTCCCTTCCAATCTTGAAATTCTGTTGCTGTCTCCCATCCAGGGCCTGGTTCCTATCCTAGTAGTGTACTCATTGAGATTCAGGATTCTTGCATGTTAATTTGGTGTAATCTGCACCTATCTTAAAGGTTGTTTGAAGATTTCATTCAGTCAGTGTTGCCTAGCACTGCTTCCTTGGGCACCATTTCTCTTCGTTCTTCCAGGCTGGTGCTGTAGGGCCCCTCTACCCCAACATGTTAGGACCACCTCCCCACCAAGCACAGCTGTGCCTTTTTCTGCTCAACATTGTGGCTCAATCGTCCTAGCAAGACAAGCCATTTGCAACCCTTCATAGGAATGCTGTCCTGTTTGTAGCCTCTGTGGTATTTGTTTATATTTTTGTGTTTTTGTTCATTTTTACAATGATTACCCTTTTTACCAATTCAGGTTGAAAATCTAGCCTAAAACCCCTTCAAAAAAGGATCTCTAAAGATTTTTGATGTTTGAGCTTTAACTTTCTGGGATTCTAAGCTCAAAGATAGATGTCCCCCCGTTCCACCCTGGGAACTCAATAAATACACACATGATGAGTAAATAGATGAATTCTGGGAAGCAGCCTCCTTTACCATATGCAAGTACAAAACCCTTATTCTGGGGACAAACGCTGGTATTGGCGCATATGACATTCATTTCCTATAGGCACTTCTGCCCTGACTTTGCCTCTCACTCTATCAGCAGACAGTTTGTGTCTGGTCTGTTTACCCAATTAAAAGGATCCGCGTCTGTCTCTGTCGCTTGATGGGCTACAGTGTTTAAGCACAGCGCTTGGCGAGGAGTAGGCATTTAGGAATATGTGGATTGAATGAATGGTTGCTAGGGAGTATGGCGGCGTCTTGGCGTCTCAATTTTATGCTGGGCTCATCCCAACGCGCGCACGTGGGAACTTCACAAAAGTTATTTCACGAGCGCGGCGCCGCATCCCCTTATCTTACGGAGTTTACTGAAGTGGGGCCAGCTCCCGCCTCTTTTAGCTTTACTGCCAAGGCTGGAGAGGGGTGGAGTGGCCTGGAAGACGGCCGCAAGCAGGGCGGGGGGATTTGCTTTCTTATAAAGATGCTTTGGGAGAATGGCTCGAGCGCGCCAGGTTTCCAGGAAGAAATGAGACCGGGTCGCGATGGCGAAGAACTGCGACCGAGAGCTGTTTACCTGCTGATACAGAGAAAGCCCGACAGCCTCCCGTGTAGTGAGAGCCTGGCCCAAACCGAGAAGGGGGCGCCCTAGCTTGCCCCCAGCAACCCATCAGTGCAGGAAGACAACCGGGGAAGTCAGTTTCACCCAACACATGTCTTGGGCTCCCTGGGCACAACGACGGCTCCTGGGGTCACGACCTCCCTATTCAACAGTCGTGGGTCCTCGTCGCTTGGGACCCCAGCTCTCTTTTTCCTGATCCAGGTTGCAAAACAAATCAACTCCACAGGAAAAATCTCCAAGAGCTCCTAGGGGACAGGTCCCCACGGACAAACACATCATAAAGTTCAATTCTGTCCCATTATGTGGGCTCTCGAGTTTCTTAATCATTGCCCCCTCCCTACACGAACAAAACCGTCCCCAGCCCCAGGAGGGTCTTGTGAGGATCCCGGGGCCGCAACCGCAAGTGGAGCTCCGAGCTCCAGGGAAAGCAAGCAGGGAATGGCCCCTGGGACTCGTTCCCGGAAAGCGCCAGCGTCCGGGGAGAGCTTCTCCTTCTCCGAGGGCCGGCAGGGTGGCATTCCAAATGTGAGCAAGGTGGGCCGTGCGCGACTCTCCCTTTTAAAAAGAATAAATAAATAGAAGGCAGCGCGCAGCCCCGCTCGGGTTTCCCGAAGTGCGCACTGCGGTCGCTGCCCGGGCGGCTGGGTGTCTGCGCTCCCCGCCTTCGCTGGGCTGACACAGGAGGGAGGAGCAGGAGCCGGAGGGGGTGCTGGGGGGGGGCCGAGCGCGAACCATCCTGAGCCAAGACAAGCAGCACATTCACAAATAACGCCCCCACCCCCAGCGCACGCGCTCCCATTCAAAGCAGCCCCGCTCCGCGGCCGCACTGCCACTCCGAAGACGCGCTGCCGGCCGCAGCGCTGCCCTGCCCCGCGGGGCGCACCTCGAGCCCGCACGCCGGCCGCCGCAGAGCCCCCAGTCCGCGGCTGCTACTTCCAGGAGGGTGTCTACGCCCAAGACTCCCGTTGGTCCCCGCCGGGGACCATGGCAAGGCTAGAGGCGCCCGGGTGCCCGGGGTTCCTGGCCCGCCTCTTCGGTGGCACCTGGTGCCTGCTCTATGTCGCCGGACAGGTAGGGCAGCCTGCGCGTCTTGCGTCTCTCTCGGACTTTTCTTCTAGCCTAGGCTGCAACCTGGGGCGCGTTCTCTTCTTCCGCGACGGTCTCCCCTAGGGCTGCGCTGCCGCCCAAGCTGGGACAGGTGGCGCGGATTTGTGGCTCCGGCGGGCCCTGACAGCGAGCTCCGGGCTGGCGGGGTCAGTCTCTTCGCTTAGCCTCGGCCCAGCCTCCTGGGACGCTGTCCCGGCTTCTCGCCTGCGCCCGGTCCTGTTTTCAGCCAGGCAGAGTCGGGGTTGAGAAGGCGGCGCCTGAGCGGGGGAGCGGTCACCACCCGGCAGCCCGCGACCCCCACCCTCGCGGAGCCCCCTCCCGCTGCTGGCGGAGGCTCGGGCGGCGCCCGGGAGGCCCGGGCTCTCGCACACTCCTCCTCACTTCTGCCCTTCCGGGGACCCAGTGAACTTCTGACTTCGTCACCCTAGGGCCACCCGAGTGCCAGTGTGGGGCGCAGCGTTGTAAGGTGTGCGGACGCCGGGCCAGGTGGGCTGCTTGGTGCCCCCGCCGCGTCGGGGGCCCCAGGGGTGGAGGAGCATTGGGCCCCGACCACACCTCCTCCGGGCTTCCCTGGGTGTGGGGTGTAGGAATTGGGGCGTTCTCCTGAGCGATTGGTTCAGGCCCCAGGCTGTGCAGAAGGGCCCTGGGAGAGAGTGTCTACTTTACAGTCTGCTCTGTTGTCACTTACTATTGCAAGACCCCGGAGGGAGCTGCTTCGGAAATGGGGCGGGGTCCGGGTCAAGTCAAACCCATGATGCCTGTGGCGTCCTTGGCTTTCGCGCTTCCCAGAGTCAGGTAACTTCTTATTAAAACCCACGATTTAGGCAGTTTGTACATAATTTAGCTTACGTAGATTGCTTTTCACAGGATTACTTGGGTAATTCTGGGAAAATGCCCAAATACTCTTGGCCGGAATTATCGCCAGATAGCCTCCCTTTCCCCTGTTTTGCTTATGGAGAAGTGTCCAAATAGGGGGATTTCCTTCCCTCGCTTTTAACGTTTTTAAACTTGTTTTCAGATTTCTATTTTAATGGTCATTTTGATTGCAGTGGTGCACTTCCAGAGGCTGAGAGGGGACCAAGAATGTAGGTTCAGAAGGGCCCAGAGGCCGCTAGGGCCAAAGGAGCAGGAATTACCCTAATTAGTAATAGAAAGTTTTAGTAGGTAACACCTGCTTAGGTTGGACTGCGACAAACAACTGGAAAAGCTTGTCCTAATTATCAACACGTTTATTCCCATCATGCCCCGCTCCATGGCAGGGTTTCTCAGCAATGGCTGCACAGTAGGATTACCTAGGGGAGTTCTTGAAATTTCCTCTGCCGGGGCCACACCCCAGCCTGATTACATCATAATCCTGGGTGAGAGGGGAGGCTGGGGCATCAGAATTTCTAAAGCTCCCAGGTGATTCCATCGTGCAGCTGGGTTGAAAACCATTGTGCAAAACTGGCCTGCCTTAATGGGACTTATTTTTTATAGAATCATGGCCCCTAAAGTAAACTCAAAGGAGAATAGTAAAAAAAAAAAGGCCTAAGAGGCTCAGGAGTCTTGACATGTTAGCTTCCAGTCCTGGCGCTGTCCCTAACTAGCTGTGTCATTTCAGTCAAGGCCCTTACCTTCCATTTCCTCATCTGTTCAATGAGGGCTTTGGCCTACGTTCTCCAAGGCACTGCCAGCTCCAACATCATCAGGCATGCCGACAGCTAAACCAAATTAAGACAACAACTTGTCTTATTCATACATACCCACAGGGCTAGAAATTCTACCTTATCCTGGAGATGTTGCTAACATATTTGCTGATATTTGGATCCAGCAAAGAAGCTAAAGAGGGGCTTAATGTCATTTCTTAGACTTGCAAGTAGTATTTTTAAAAATGCTTTCCCACTGCCTGTTCAAACCCACTTCAAGTCATCCTCAGGTGCCTTCTTGGCATTCATGACACGCTGATTTTCCTGACATTACACACCTGTTCTTCCGTGCACCAGTTCTCAACCATTTCTTTTGGATGAGGATGATGAAAGCAGATTTGGGTCTTGTGTGGGTGTGTGTTGGAAGTGGTTTATTATTTCCCTCCAAATGGATCTTTCTTGTTCCTCTCTTCAGGGCTGTTCTCCACATGTGAGGGATCTGACTAAACTTGTCAGGAAAAGGATAGAAAAGAGTTTTAAAGTGGTAGATTGGTTCCGTGTACTGGTAAAATGCAAAATGCCTTTGAAAGTTAGCTTGGTCAGAAGATTGTCAAGCAGCTGATCTCACAGGACTGTTTCAATGTCTTCACTTTTTTAGAATCACATGGGCATTGTAGTTAATTGTCAAATGGATTGGAAATTTGAGGATTCTTAAATCAAGAAGAAATCATTCTATGACTGATAGCCAGTGTTAGATGATTTAAACATTGTTTGGAATTTATATATCCTTTAAGGTTTTTTATTTTTTTTTTTTAAGCAAAAGCACTGAATACATAAAGGCATGACTACCAGAGTTATCAGACCTTTCTTGTACACATAATAGTAAAAGGAGGCTCTGCAATCAGGAGTTTCTGCTGCCTAAACTGAATTATACCTGACTTGTACCCTCCAGATAGTCCAAAGAACAATTTTAATGCAAACAAAAATTATTTGGAAATTCCAGAATTTCTTTCTTCTCACTAAATTTCTGCTTTTAAGGCTTATTTCCCTCTCTTCTTCTGACTGAATTACCCTCCTAACTTGCAAGATTCTTTTCTTTCCCTGCAACTTGAAGACAGCTCACTCCTTAGGTTCTTATAAAACTGAACCCAAATTCATCCCATTACCCTAATTACTCCCAGGTAAGGAAGTGCATAACCAACTAATGGTTTTAATCAGTAGGTATTAGCAACTAAATGATTTCAATAACCTGACTATAGCAATCCATTGTAAAATCAACATTCAAGAAATTTGTAGGCCGGGCGCGGTGGCTCACGCCTGTAATCCTAGCTCTCTGGGAGGCCGAGGCGGGCGGATTGCTCGAGGTCAGGAGTTCGAAACCAGCCTGAGCAAGAGCGAGACCCCGTCTCTACTATAAATAGAAAGAAATTAATTGGCCAACTAAAAATATATATACAAAAAATTAGCCGGGCATGGTGGCGAATGCCTGTAGTCCCAGCTACTTGGGAGGCTGAGGCAGGAGGATTGCTTGAGTCCAGGAGTTTGAGGTTGCTGTGAGCTAGGCTGACGCCATGGCACTCACTCTAGCCTGGGCAACAAAGCGAGACTCTGTCTCAAAAAAAAAAAAAAAAAAAAAAAAAAAGAAATTTGTGTTGCCAGATCAAAAATTCATTACTATTGCTTAAAAATAGCATTTAGTGGCAATCCATGTTCTTTTGGTGGTATATGAATGATAGCTCATTCAAACATAACAAATGTTTATTTCATGTACAGTGGCATTCTAAATGGTATCCTTGTTAGGAATTTAGTAATGAAGTGAATGGTTCCAGGGCAGCTGAAAGAATTTGTGCCTTTATAGGGCACCTGATTTTTAGCTAAGGATCTTGAACCTGGCTTGTTTCTTTGGTGGTTCTCCTGTATGTAGTTGCTGTTGTTTTATTTTCATTTTTTACCATGATAGTAACTCTGCATGATTACAAAAGACTACTGAGGGTTTTAACTTGCTTTGTATTATTTTGAAGTATAATTGGCACACAGTAAACTTCACATATTTAAGGTGTTCAGTTTAAGTTTTGACATACAAGGTCTGTCCATAAAGTATCCGGCCATTGCTAATATAATGAGAATGGTTTGGTTTGTGCAACATCCATGTAACTTTATAGCCAAGGAGGGTGGACTGTAATGTGCTAACATGAACAACGATGGCTTCACTGTACTAGTCAGTCCGGTGCTAGATGCCATTGAGTGAGCATGTGTACTATGTGGTCATCACATTCAAAATGACTGAGCAAGTAAGGCAATGAATCTGCATGAAATTTTGCATTAAGCTTGAACATTCCTCTGTAGAAACTGTTCCGATGATTCAGGAAGCTTTCAGGGATGATGCAATGAGGGCAGTGCAAATAAAAGTGTGGCACAAATGCTTCAAATACGGTCGAGAATCTATTGAAAGTGATCCATGTTCTGGAAGCCCTGCAACAAGCAAAACACCTGAGAATGTATGGGTTAGGTTAACAGACTCTGGGATAACTGTGTGAGGTCCCAAGGTGCCTATTTTGAAGGGGACTGAGGCGTCAGTGTCCTATGTACAGTGTTTCTTGTATCTTCTTCAGTAAATGTTTCTATTTTTCATATTACATGGCTGGATACTTTCCAGACCTCATATGTACACACTCAGGACATCATCACCTCGAAGTTTCCTCATGTCCCCTTTGTAATGTCTTCCTCCCACCTTTTCTTAAATCCAATATCAACAGGCAAATAATGATCTACTTTCTGTTACTACGTATTAGTTTATAATTTTATGTAAGTGGAACCACCCCCCCCATTCCTTTTGTTTGTTTGTTTTTTTACCCAGCACAACTATTTTGAGGTTATCCATGTTGTAGCATGTATCAGTAATTCTTTGCTTTTTGTTCTTGAGAATCATATGGATAAACTACAGTTGGTTTTCCATCAACAGTCACCTATTGATGGACAGTGTGTTTGTTTCCAATTTTTGGCTATTGCAAATAAAGTTGCTCTGAACATTTGTGTATAAGTTTCTGTGTGGATATGTGGTTTTGTGTTAGGTAAATACCTAGGGCTGGAATGGCTAAATTATATGGGGGGGTTAATCTTAACATTTTAGGAAACTCAGTTTTTCAAAAGGTTGTACCCTTTTCTTACTAGCAGCCTATTAGAGTCCCAGTTCCTCTGTAGCCTTGTCAGCACCTGATGTGGTCTTTTATTTTAGCTATGGAAATGGTTATAGTGGTAGCTTGTTCTGGGTTTTAATTTGCAATTCCTTGATGATTAATGATGTTTAGCACATTTTCATAGGTTTATTTAGAATCCATA